TACTTTTAATGCTAACAATAACTTACCAGGACTATTTAAAGCATTTTATAAGTCCTTTGTAAACTGTGCTCTAACATTTAGGTCTTTAGAGCCAAGAGCATTGAAGTCAAGAGATGGCAAAAACTCCAACAGAACCACAGAAGGGAACTGAAACAACAGAACTCCAGAAAGAACCACCAAAAACCAGACAGCTAATGAATATTGTCGAAGATATTTTTCCAAAGTACTCTGTTCTCATTGCATACATTCAAGAAATACTAAGAAAGCAGACTTGACTTTTAGGAGATGATGAAAGTTCTGTATATCTTTCGTTCCAGTTTCAAATAGCAGAACTTTTGAGACAGATATGCTTAATGTATTGGACAACATCTCTGATTTTCACAAGATATGATGACGACATGACGCCCCAACACGGTGAAGAAGAAGTTTTACAAACATCCATTAAGACAGGAAAGGTTTTAACTTCAAAGTCTCATTATTGACAACCAAAGATGCGAAGTGACGTTCTTCAAGAGCTGAAGAAAAATACTCTTCGGGGGTGGTGGTAGGCATGAACTTAATAAAATGTAGATAGAAGAAATTAGCCGAAAAAGCAGATAAAGAACATAAACAAATATCTCCGATATAAATGAACTTCAGCTACATTAAATAGTAAAGCGGACAAAAATGAACTTGACCGCAATGAACAAAGTTTTTGAAATCTCATAAACAAACACAACATCTCGATATAAAATGAACTTCAAGCTACATTAAATAGTTAAAGCGGACAAGAACCATGTTCATTATATAACTTCAGTCAACGAACAGATTATCATGACGGACAACTCCATGGATATTTAACAGCGAAGTGATGTGAAGCGAAGCACTAAAAATTGTTATATAAAGTAGATTATAAATACATTCGTGCTAAAAGGTTATGACATAATGCTGTACTGTACAGTTATGATGATAGCTAAAAAGCACCAAGAAGCTATTGGTACTCTATATACCGGTATAAGTTTATGCCTCTACTTTCAATGTTAACGACTGTATTAGATGAACCAGATTATTTAAGAGTTTAGCGCAACAAATAACGTTTGAAGATAGGCTATTAAAAGTATAAAGTCGACAAAGTTCGAACTCGAAGTCAACGAACAAAGTTTGTGAAAATCTAAACAACAACATCATCCGATGAAAATTGAACTTCAAGCTACATTAGACAGTAAAGCTGACAAGAACCATACACCATAAAGCCTTCACTACTGTTAGAGCAGACGACATTTAATATTGAACTTTGAACTTTGGTTTCAAGTTGCCACCATTAGAAAATCCAAGTACAAGCGTAAAAAGATACTCTAACAGTTTAGATAAGAGTGCAGGAACATTGAAAGTCATGCCAGAACTCTTGAAGCATATGACACCCTGCAAGTTCTTAGATAAGAAAGCAGACAAAACTTATTGTAAGATGAAGAACTATCAACAGAAATTTCGAAACAGATACAATGACATTTACAACAGAAATTTATAAATGGTGAACCAGCAACTCATCTTGAATTTGTTAGAGGTCTTCAACCAGATCTTTTGACAGTTTTCTTGGGATATGTCTATTGACTAACCATTCCATTATAGCTCGTGGCAAACTGCACAGTTTCATCCGGGAGATACTTCCAAATGTATTATCTCTTTTTTTCAGAACAAGTCTTGTATTTTTTCAGAACAAGTCTTGTATTTTTTCAGAACAAAGTCTGTTGATTTTTTCAGAACAAGTCTTGCACTTTTTCAGGAAATCCTATCGTCTAACTTTACAAATGTCACTTTTTCGACATGATTGCATTTTGGTCGCGGGAACAACTTTCTCCCATTTTGTCACTTTTTTCTATCGTCGTGTTTTGTCACTTTTCCTCAGGGTGTGTGTCAGAAAATATCCAAAATCTTTATAGCCTCGTATCTCCTTCAATTCTTGACGGCTTGACATGTATGACACACCATTCAATTCAGAATTATGTGCTGAATCTTATGACCTTCATTTGTTCGTGACTTCTTTTCACATATGTAACCCTGAATTTTTAACATTTCTTTAACACAGAAAAATAAAGTTAGTTTTATTTTTATTTATTTTTTTATTTTGTATGTAAGGACAGATATGTCAACAACAGAGAACACAACAACTGCTATCGTTCATGAAGCCATAAATGAAGAATACGAGTGGGTTCAGTTTAACAAACAACTCCGTCTCATTCGTTCGGTCAAAGACGATATGTACCAAATGCAAAGTATTTTGACAGCATGTTTTGCTCCAGACACTAAACACGCAGACGACTGGTTCAAAAACCAAAGCACACAAGAACTTTTGAGTGAAATTTCTCTAGACGACTTTTTTCGTCATGCATAAAACACATGAAAATCGTAAAAATTTGCCAATAAATTTAAGAGGTTATTATGTTCATAGACTTTTTAGTAAATGCAGTTGCAATGTGGGCTTCTCCTCGTTATGCATGGCATGTTTACAGACTTCTTGACGAAATTCATAGACAAGAACGTGGAGAGATGGAAAAGAACTTCAGCAAAAGATGAAGTCATTGAATCCAAAGACAAAAGCATACAGAAAAGAATACCACGTTCAGTACCAAAAGGAAAGGAAAAGAGTTATAAGTATATGATATATACTGAAGAGTTGGAGAAAGAAGAAGATAGAGATATGGTTATGTTGCATTTAGTCAGAAGAAACAACAAAAGCTTTTATGACCTTGCTAAGATTTACAAATCTGACAGAAACTGGTTCTATCGTGAAAACTTACCGATTTCAATGACACGAATGAGCAAATAAAGGAAATTGTCAAAATACTCTTCCTCAAACACACTATGACATCAAAGGTTGCACAATACTTACATTCAAAGAAGACTTAACATTACTGAAGGAAAAAATAACAGAATATTTCGATAACTTCAAAGAGGAAGAATAAAAAAATCTAAGCTAATTTTATTTTTTTTATAAAATTTTATCTCATATGAAAGAACATGAATTTAGAATATTCGGAACTCATGACAGAAGAAGAGAACGAACAACATGTAAAAGATTATGCAAAATTCTGAAGACATACAAAGCATTTAAACAATATCTAAATGCTTCTAAAGATTATGCAAAATTTCTGAAGGTATATAAAGCTTATGAAAAAGCGTATGAAAAGTTTATACATTGGGGAATTGTTTGTAAAATATCGATATGAAGACTAACCAAAAATATATTTTTGCTTAAATGACGTCAGGGTCAATTTCTTCAACCATTTCACTTCCTTCGTCAATGTCAATAGAAGCTTCTTCAACCTTTGGTAAGAACTTTTGTATAAACATCTTTGTTCGTTATTGTTTTCAGAGATGAAGAATAATATTTCACATTTGTTTTCACCCTTCTTATATTCTTTCTGTTCGGAAAGATTCATAGCAATACTGAAGAAGTCAATGTTGGAGTTCTTTATAATAGTATAATGAGTATCTTTGACATTCACGAAGAAACTCTTTTGTTTCAAAACTACTGCTAACTCTTGTGAAGTATAACGTTTGCGGTCAATGACAATAGCTAATGGTCTGACATACTGACCAAACTTAGATTCTTTCACAAACTTCTTTGTTAAAGATAACATTGACGTTTGAAGCATTATTGAACTCATTCTTGATGACAGTAGCGAGAGCATTGTATGAAAAGAACTTGCAATCTTGCATGTGTTTCATTAAAATAAAAATATTAAATTTTTTTGAAAAATAACTTAAAAAATCTAATCTAATTTTTTCAAAAATATTTTTTTTATTTCCTACTAAAGATGTATCGGAAGTTGTCTAAGTTAGAACACTCGGAAATAAACAACTTCTTACAGAAGCTAATATAGATGTTGCAAAGCATTACACAACAAACAAAAGGCACTCGCTGACATCCTCAATGACTATAATGGTGAAATAACTTATGATAGAATTCATGAGTTCATAAAGCCGCAACGCGGCGAGGACGAAGTCCATGCAAGAGCATTTCCTTTAATGACGTTGCTATTGACTTATATCATAGACGTTTACCTCATGAAGTAAGAAGAGAAATGTTTGACATAACAAATGCAAACGTTGGTCATACTCGTAAGCTCTTTCACATGACGTTCGTCAAGAGATGTTTGACATAACAAATGCAAACGTTGGTGAAACAAGAAGAGCTGTACACATAAGTAAGAAGAGAAATGTTTGACATAACAAATGCAAACGTTGGTGAAACACGAAAGAGAGATGACACACTGAAACAACAGAGAAGAGAGATGTTTAAAAGTGCTATAGAACAAGTTCGCAAAGCTAATAATGTCATTCGTTCCATTGACGACAAACCAAAAGAAGGTGAGAGATGGTTAAAGAAAGATGAAGAAAATAGGAAGAGGAATGTGAAGTCAGGCAATAGACTCATTGACTTTAACATCGAAGCTTTAGATGAACCAAACAGAGACTACTTACACAAACATTTCGGTAAGGTTTTCATGAGACTCTTAGAGAAAATTAAAATAAACTCCCAACAGAGATGGATGGTATGTTATAAACTTGGTGGAAAGTATGAATGTTCTACGTTAAACCTCAATAATATTGGAACATTAACATCAGCTCTTGAAGGAGAACTTTATATCAGAGATAGAAGCAAATGCTGCAGGATTGTTGAAATGCACTATGACTTCTTTTGAAAACATAAAGAATCTTACCGAAATAAAGATGTATGATTTAACAGAATATGAAGGCTTAACGATGTCAGATGTAAGAAAGGCAAACCAAAAAGAGACCATATATAGAGAAAGCACACTGACAAATGACCAGAAAGCCATTTGGAAGCTCTTAAGCAAACAGGAAACCAGCACTTATAGAAAGCTTTTGGAAAGATAATGGTGAAAAGAAGTTTTATAAGAAGGAAGCGGGCAGTTCTGGAAGTATCTTTGCACATTACCTATAAATCTTGAACGCTACCAAATCTTCATGAACTGAACAAAAGAACTGCAACACTTATGACAGAGGACAATTGTTTCGTTTATGCTTGCATTCAGGCTGGAGTAAATGAAGAAACTATTGACCACATGAGAGAAGTCATTCGTGTTAGAGACTTTCCTCAAAGTAAAGTACAAGAAATTTCTGACGCAACTGGTATAGCATTCAATGTTACCATTGGTTATTTCAATGACTCAAGACATAATGAAATAAAGAGATATATACCAAAAGAATGCGAAACTGTTAGAACTATTGACTTACTTCTTGTTGAAGACCACTACATGCTAAATGAAAGACTTCCAATGACAACATATTTCATTCGAAACTATATAGAAATCTTGAAGGAGTGTGGTGGAATGAACATTGAAAAACAGATGAAAATATATACAAAGAGAGAAGATAAATATGTAGTTCGCATGGATAGAACTACACCGCTATGGGATGTTATGAAAACATTGTGGGAGTGCAAATATTTTGAACCTATTTCTTATGGAGAACTTTTCACATATACGACTGACTTATATAAACAGAACCTTGCACCATTTAAAGATTTGACATATGCTCCAAAGTATTGTGTACAACTGAAGAAGAAAGCAGAGTCAAAAGAAGTAAATAAAGCTAAATGTAAGTTCATACCTGAGCACGTTTTCTTTGCTGACTTTGAGTGTAGTACGGATGGCTTTCATAAAGCTTTTAACATCTGTTATGACAGTGAAGATGGTTCAGTTAGTGAAAGTATTTGGGGTCAAAACTGTGCAACAGAATTTTTGGAAAGACTTCCTGACAAGAGTTTAATATATTTCCATAACCTCAGTTATGACATAAACTTCATCTTAAGACACATGACAGAAGTGAAAGGAACTCCCATCATTAAAGGTTCACGAACAATGCAAATAACTGGTTTATATAAAGGAAGGGCAATTATTATAAAAGACTCTTACAGTGTTATAAATAAGAAGCTTAAACTATTTCCTGCTATGTTTAACTTACAAACAGGACCGAAAGAAGTATTTCCATATAACTACTACAGCAGTGTTTTGTTAGCAAATGACAACAGAACTGGTGTCATTTCTGAAGCATGTAAGTTTATCCATGATGCAGATACATTTATGAAGAACATAGATTCCATCAAAAGGTTGCAGAATAGATGAAAACCACTTCGACTTAGAAAAATATAGCACGTTTTACTGCAAACAAGATGTAAGAATTTTAAGAGAAGGTTTTGTAAAGTTCCGCAATGACTTATTGAAAGAGTTTGATTTAAACGTTTATGACTACGTTAGTATTTGTTCTATTGCTAACAAATTGTTTGAGAACAGAGTATACTTCCCGAATGGAAATCTTTATGACCTCTCAAATAAACCAAGAGAATTTATTTCGAGATGCATTCAAGGTGGAAGATGTATGTTGTCAGATAACATGAAACAAAAGAGCAAAAAGAAACTCATTGCTGACTTCGACACTGTTTCATTATATCCTTCAGCTATAGCAGACTTTATACTTTAGAAGGTATTCCAAAAATTGAAGGAAGAAATGTTAAGCACAGAGTATCTCATGAGACATTTATTCGATGACGACCAAAAGGAACCCATTGGTGAAAAGTTTATGTCTGGCTTCTTTGTTCTCATTAAGATAACAGAGATTGGTATACCCAGACACTTTCATTTAATAGTTTGCGACCCTGAACTAAATCCAGAACTTAACGTTCCAAGAAGTTCAAACACTTGCTGTCTCATGTATGTTGACCATATAACATTACAAGACCTCATAAAATATCAAGGTGTCAAATGTGAAGTGTTGCAAGGATACTATTACGATGGAAACAGAGATATGAGAATAAGAGATGAAGTAAAGAAGTTGTTTGAGTTAAGGTTAAAGTATAAGAAAGAAGAAAACCCCTTACAAGAAATTATAAAACTCATTCTGAACAGCATTTATGGCAAAACTATTCTATCTCCTATTGAGTCAAAAATAACCATAGTAGATGACAAAGATGCTATAAGATATGCTATAAGAAATTACAACCATATAGTGAAGTTCGAAGGTTTGGATGGTTCAGATAAAACTATTTTCAAGCTAACGAAAAGCATTTGCAGACACTTTAACTTCTGTCCACTTGGTGTTAATATTCTGTCTATGTCAAAACGTATTATGAATGAAGTATTCTGTACTGCAGAGGACATGGGACTTCAAATCTTTTACCAGGATACCGACAGTATGCACTTATATAATGAAGACATCCAAAGCTTGCAGCAGAGTTTAAGAAGAGATATGGTCGCGAACTTATAGGAAAGAACCTTGGTCAATTTCATAGCGACTTTGCAGAAATAACACCTGGAAAACAAAGTTTAGCTTATAAAAGTATTTTCTGTGGAAAGAAGACCTACATAGACTTACTCACTAACGATTTAAATGAAGTTGCATTTCACTGCAGAATGAAAGGCGTGAAGCAAGATGTTATTGCTTTAACCGCTAATGAAATGTTTCCTGAAGCTATACAATGCTATTACAATGAAGATAAGAACATTCACATACCTGTTGGAACATATGACAAAGACTCTGAGTTCAGTTTAATGAAACTTTACAAAGCACTTCATGATGGTCAAGAGATTGCATTCGACTTATGTAAGTCATGTCAACCTTGCTTTGCTGAAAAGTTCAACTTTTCAATAACGACTAAAACAAGCTTTATTCGTAAGTTGAAGTTCTGAGGTCATTTATTTTTGTCAGCAATGAGGTCATTCGTGATAAAAATAAAGCTAGCGTAGATTTTACAATACTGCGATGGTAGAGTTTAAGAGTTGTGCTTCAATGTAGAGACAGTCCTTCCCATCTGGAGGCAAGAACACTGGACATTTATGGTCATGAGTGGAGTACATGTCTATCCAAAACTCACGATTGAAGCCAGTTAATTTATAGTATTTAGGGTTAGGAAGTGGTGAAGTTCTTGTATGACCAATGAACTCATTTTCAACGCCTTTGGCTATATTAGAGTAAAGTATTGCTTGCTTTCTATCCAAATGCCAGGTGTTACAATCTTTGAAAATTCATTTTTCCTCGGAAGCATTGCATCATAATTGAAAACATTCTTAAAATCATCACTTGGTTCGGAGATTTGAAATCTTATACGTAATGGATTTTCTTTCTTTTTAGCGACTTCATTGAATGGTGAGAATACAATGAATTGACAGTCATGAGTTCCATCTTCATTTTCATTAAATTCATAATGAAAGTCTATAAGTTGTGGCTGACTACCTTCTTCTTTCAGTTGTGCAAGAAACTCACGTAAAGGCTGTAAAGTTTGTACTTCAATGTTGAACTTTTTCTCGAACATCTCATTAAATGAAATCATACATTGTTGCAATGTTGTATCGTCTTTAAAGTATTTGTATATGTGAATGTTTTGGGCGCTTAAAGACTGTTCGTCATTTTCTATCTCGACTTGAAGTATAAAGTCAACCTTTCTGAAAGCACGTGTTATATACATAGATGTTATGCCAATGTACTTCTCTTCATTTATGTTCACAATCCAGTCTGTTGGAAACTTAAACGTTACTCTGTTCCCCTTTATTTTGACGTCAGGGTTTTCACTACTGAACGCAACAGTTAAAGGTATTTGTCTATACATTTAATTCGGATAAAATAAACCATTTACTCTTTCTTTGCTTCAGCTTCTTTAGCTTTTGCTTCTTCTCTAGCTTTTTTCGCCAGCAAACGTGGGTTCTTCTGTCTTCCAGCAGCTAATGCAGCAAGTTGTTTTTCACTAAGTTTTCTCTTTGGTCTCTCTGGCTTTTGTTCTTGTTTTTGTTCCTTCAGTTCGGATAAAATTTGCTCACGAATTTCTTTTCTTCAATGCTTCAACATCTATGACCCCCTGGGTCTTGTCCGTAGGACTTGTCTGAGTCATTTGACTGCAGATAAAAAACAAATTAAAACTTTAACCGATGTAAAATGAGCTTGTCAAAATCAGAGCGAGAGTCTATTATATTAAATGACGCAAGAGGAATACAACATCCTTTCTATTATGTAAGTCAGAGTAAAGATGGTAAAATATACGTAAGAAAAAGAAAGGTTCCATTAGCGAATGCAGAGAGTGACAACATTAAGGTGCATAGCACCGAGGGTGAAGCCCATATAAAACCTTCTATTCAAACTGAAAAGTCAATAGAACAAGAAGAAAAGAAGCCAGATGTTCTTTCAATAACGAACCAAGAGCTTATTGCAAAGTTCGTGAATTTCATTGAAAAACAAACCGAGTCAAAGAATCCTGACCACCAGTGAAAGAAGTTGAGACAAAAGAGAATGTACAGTTCATTGAAAATGTCAAGAAACAACTTCCACCACGAATGCCAAGAAGAAGAGTGAGAATAATGAAGTAAATAGATATTTTTATCCGAAGTAAATACATGCAGAACGAACAGTTAAACGAATTTACTCCAGCAGAGCATATTCATCAGATTCGCTCATATTTCGATATCATAGACAATGCAGTTCAAATTGGTGACACTAATAGAAAATATTCTGACGTAAAGATTCCATCACAACCTGGAACTGCTAAAGATAACACATGGGTAACATTCAATCTCTCACCTCCTGGTGAAAATATGTTGGACCTTTACAATACATTCATTACGTATAAAATGGAAGGTCAATTTATTGCAGATAAAGAAATTGGTTCAGGTTCCAATAAAACAAACCCACCAGGATTTTGGATTGGTTTCGATGACGCTTTCTATGCAGTTGCTGGATATCAAATCCTTGCAAATGGTCGTATCGTATATTCTCAAGACAACGCAAGAGAAGAAGCATATATAACTTCAAACTCACAAACTACCGAACAAATAAAGAAAGTAGATGTTTTCTCAAAGACTCGACATGAAGATGTATGGAGTCATTCGGGAACATGCAGAACAGGACAAATTGTTAGTGGTCCAATTACAGCAGGAAAATCATTTGATTTTAAGCTTCGTTTAAGAATTCCTGTTAGAAGATTCCTTCCATTAGAAGCTATAAGATTTATTCCTGCATTTGCTGGTAACATTCAGCTTAAAGTAAAGTTCAGTAGCGACGCCTTACAATGCACATCTATATCTGTAAATGATATCATTGCTTTCAATCCAACTCTTAAAGTTGCATTTGCTTCAGATTCAAATCCACCGACAAATAAATTTGTTCCATGGAATGAACCATTCACTATGATAACGAAGGCAGTAGAAGCTAGTGGAACAGTTACTATTACAACTGTAAACCAGCAACTATTTCGAACAAAGATGGATTTTAATGAATGTTTCATTCATCCAAAGTCATTCTCTTTAGACCCTAACATTTATACAGAACTTGTAGAACATTATACAAACGAGGCTTTATGTTTTCCTGTTAAAGTTATGGATTGGATTCCTATGGACGGTTCATTCTCAAAGAATACAGATAGTTCAAGTGCAACATTTACAGCAGCTTATACGCCTATTAATGTTAAAAGTATTTGGGCACTATTTAGAAAGAAAGACAACTATTATGTTAATTTTGAGAACCCTAAGTTTAAATATCTTCAGCTTTCCATGGGAGCTTATGGAAATATGCCTGCAGAACCTGAAAAATCATATGGACCTGTATTTTATGAAATGGTTGCGAACGCCTGCAATACAAACAATGATATGATAGGATTTAATGAAGATGTTATGAGGTCATTGGTGGATGATGGTAGTGTGGAACATAAATGGGATAGCTATGACAACACACATTTCTTATGTGGTTTTCCAACAGAAGTGGACTTTTGCTTCCAACAAGGTCAAACATCTACTGCTCCAATAACATACAAATTGTCTGTTAAAGGACCTATTGAACTAGCAACTGAAAACGTACCAAAG